TAGCTTTAAGTAAAACATTAAACAGTGCCGTGGAAAATATGTTATGATTTGCTTTTGTTGTTGTTGTCATGGAATTTATGTCAAGCAAATTTCAAATAACAAAATGTTTAGATGCATAAAAGTTATTTTTCTTTATCCTTGGCTGAAGGGAGTATACGATTCCGCATCGAAGGCAGTGTGCATTTTCATATGTAAACAAAAACTAATAAAAAAATAAAAAAAAAATAATTAAGGACAGCAATGGCCAACTTAGTCGACTTTATTCGTGAGCTACTAATTAAAATTAAACACATTTTAATTGGTTTAATTTTTTCATTCTTATTTAATTGAAATTTCAAAATGAAAATATATTAAATTGAAGGAATATATTAGAAGTTTATTGCTAACCGTTCTAACGTTCTGACGTTTGCCTTGACGGCAGCGAGCAAAACCATAAAACAAGTCTGCAGCTGCAATTTATGATTTTTGCATAATTAAAGTTCTCGGACATAAGTCAATATTGACATGTGGCCCACATGGGCGCAATTGTTAGCCTTGCACTTGCCAAGGCCTACACAAAACTAACTACACACAAACAAACAAAAACAAAACAAACGCACATGCACATACACACACTTACATGCGCATATGCGAATGCGAATGTGAATGTGTATGTGCATATCTCAATGTCAATGAAACGGAAATGCAATAACCACGCATCAAATTGAGAAAGTCGTAATTAAAAAGTAGCTTCCGTTTGCTGCGCTTAAAGGTTAAATCCAAATGAAAGCGAACAAGATTTATAGCAGCGGAAAGGTGTATGTGAATGCGCCCACGTCCGCAGTAAGAAAACAATACCACCAACAAAAACAGCAACGAAAAGAACAACGACAAGAACAACAAACACAAACAACGTGTCTTGTGCGCTCGTATATGAGTAATGCGATAGCTCTGGTTCAGCTTTTCGACTTTAACTTTATGTCTTTCTTCCTCTCCTCTCCTCGTACGTTCGTACGCTTTCGTGTTCAGCAAACACAAAAAAAAGAAGAATTCTATTAAAGTGCATAGCATAAAGCATCCAATAAAAATGATTTAAGTGCACAAGAAGCTAATAAAGAAATTACTGTCCGTCAACACCGACGTAATAGAAAGCTTTAATGGAGGATTACTCCAGTATGCTATGTGAAGGTTACATGAGTTCATAAGTTAAGTCACTGCATTTAATATTCCAGTTATATCTCAATATCAGGCACTGATATTGGTCCAAAAGCCGATCTTGCCTATAAATATAAATATAATATTTAATGCATATGGATATACCAACATATATCAATTAGTAGATAAGCAAAGAGTGACACTTCATTAAAAAACACTGAACATCAAATGATGTTCATCTAACATCATGGTCCGCAGATGTCAAGCTATTAAGTGACACTTATAGCTGGGAAATTCAAAGAGATTAAAGATTGAAATATATTGTTAAGATTTTTAATCCAGAATAGAGTTAAGCTTCAACCGTTGTAGCGATAACTTCAGTTAATAAAGTAATACCGTTTTAGAAAAATAAAAATTAAATGTTTTTTATTTTTTAAATAAAAATATAATATATTAACTTATATACATAATATATATACATAATTCCAAAAACAAATTAAAATCAGTATTCAGCCGCTACGAGGTTCGGCAAAAAAATGGTTTGTTTTAAAAGAAATAATAATAGAAAAGTTATACAAAAGATTTTTTGTAATAATTACATATATATATATATATTTATTTATGGCAGCCAGATACTCGTTATATTATTGTTTGGAATCACTTCTCTGCATCTTGTACTCTTAGCTAACAATTTCTTTAGTGATTCTAACTTTTATTTTATTATATATTGAATAATTTTTGTTTTACTATATATTAAACAGTTTGCTAACTGTTAGTAAATATGTTCTTAATATTATCTTTAAAGCTGGCAATAAGTTTATGCATATACATAACAACAGTATCAGTCTAAAGACCCGACGAAGAATTATGATTATCTAGGTGATATTTAGGCATAAATCATACAAATCAATCCAGATATGTGGTGAATAATAATCATTTTTAATAGAAACTATTAGGGACACAATTTGCAAATGTGTAACATAATTTTCTCTTGAAACGGAAATCAAAGAAAGAATATAATTATAGAGATCATATGTTAAGCCGTAGTTTGTGGTATCATGCCACCAGTATGTAGTCTTATATATTAAATACACACTACACACGACATAGTCTAACTTCGTCAGATCTTCACTTTCTCACGTTAAAGTGATGTATACAATGATCACAGGTGTATGGTACACCAAAATATAATTAAGCGTAGGTTTATCAAATCGTATTAATAACGACAAAAAAATATATTAAAAACGACCGTCAGAGGAAGCATACGTATTGAACATATTTATTGATATATAAGAGTAGAGATTAGGTAGGCATAAATCACAGATGAGCCTGGAAAAGAAATCAAGGAAAAGCGTTATTAAGGTTACTTTGATGCGAGTTGTTAATCAATCAATACTAATATGAAAAAATAACTGAAGATTTAAAAATAGTTATAGAGATAATTATTACATGAAACTTCGTGTCGTAACTATTAGCAGACAATTTTGCTTTCTTACCTAACTATTTCTTAATTTGAAGTTCCAAATTCAGTTAAAATGTATTATACATTTTATTAAATGTTTGTAAATCTTAAATATATATATATGATTAGAATATAGTTACCGTTTCTTTCATAAAATTGCTTTTAATGGATTGTATTAATAAACTAGCATTTTGATGTATTATTCCTGAGATTTTCTGCACAAGTCGTGCCATATACTCGCATTGAACTTCATTGAACTTGGCGTCACAACAGAAACTACCTCATTTCCCTATTTTATGTGCCAAGATACTTGTCCGACTTAATAACAATTATGGTGCAGAAGTAAGTATCGTTACATGTGCTAGCAAATCATTTAGTCTTTCCCAATATATTCAAGGTCTGCGAGTACGCGAGCTGTACTTCGTACTTGTACGGACATAAAATTTATGGATGTAAGCATACAAATTTTCTATTTAACCACACGAAACGTTTTGAGTACATTTTCTATTTATGATGATTAATCACTTCTTACGGTTAGGAGCAAGAAGCACAAATTTGCAGTGAGAATGCCTGCCTAGTGAGGGAAAGACGTAGAAGACTTATTTTGTTTTTAATAAAATTAAGAAAACCAAATAGAAAACATTTTAATGGCAATAATTTAGGAAACAAGTAATCTTTTTGTAATACTTGAATGTATCTGTGGCGAACCTTTGAATGTTTCAAAAATAATACAAAGTTCATAGCGATACATGTATTCTCGTTAATCAAATCAAATGTTTAATCGAATTTTAAATTTGATATAATTAAAAATCACTTGACAATATAAAAGTTCATTCACCACAATAGATTTTTCAAGACCAGATTACTCATTTTTAATTATCTCCAGTTTAGTGGCATTATATTTTGCATTATGTTCTTAATTTCATAATTTTAATTCTTTCCAATATAAACATTTACTACAAATAAGATTGCCCTAAAAAGCGATTGATCAGATATAGAACAGTATCGGAGTGAGACATTATATACACGAAAAAACACATAATAATTTTTATACAGATCATCGCCCTAACATACACCAACTCTATTTATGAAATAAATAGAGGATCCTAATTAGATGTAACCTAAAGTTCCTAATTATGATGAAGATATGTTAACAAATATAGAACACATAAATTTTGCTTATCACTGAGTCATTACTACTCATGGCGATTTTTTTAGTAACATCCTATGCTAACTACTGCATATATGTGAGGCGTTTCATTATATAACGTTAAAAATGTGCTTCAGTCTTCAGATCTTTATGTATTTCCATTTAGGAAGTTAGAGAGCACATACTAAGTACTGAAATTTTTTTAAATTGCATTATCTGGCGGGTGGCACCACCTTAAATTGTGGAGCAACTGCCTGGCTGAAGCTTATACTATATATAATATATACACGTAACGGAAGTTAACTTTATTTAACTTAAGGAATTTCAAGCATAAACAGCAATCATTAAAGAACCTTAAATCACAATTTACCATCGTGCTGTGATTTAATCGTTTATTGCTGAACAAGTAGTATGTAGTAGTGTAGTATGTTGGATTATACTTCATATAAATATCCTAATCATATCTATCCATATCTATCACTCCACCAATTTGCTTTCACACTCACACAACTTCCAATTGCAGACTGTCTTTTCCGATTTTAACGTCATCTTCAGCAACAACCATTTAAAAAATATAACATGTAAAATAAAGTAGGATTGGTTTATTAAAGAAACTTACTTATAACAAAGAGGAGGGTTAGCAAGAGTTTACGTAAAACTTAACAATTTCTTCAAATTCTTCCTCCATGATTAATATGATGTGAATTTAGATTAAGCACTGAACAAGCTTTAATGTCAAATAACACCATCTCGGAATTTACACAGAAAAAACCACTTTATAGTATGTTATTTCTGGGTTCTCATGTATAAGCGCAACGGCACCCTTAAAATCCGTATAAGTGAACAAACTTGTCACAGTGCAAACACTAAACGTACTCATATATTCAAAAAAATTGGTAATAAAATATGCAAATATTTATAATTCCATTCCGAGCCGGCAGCCTTCTAAGTGCTGCTATCCTTTTTGGTAACCAAACTTATACACGCTGCACTGTTAACTCATATTTATTCGTTTCCCAGAGTTACAAGCGGTTGTGTGACAATTCCAAGAGAAAAATATAAATGCGAAAAGAGGTAATTTTAGACTCAGTGAAAGTCCTTCGTCTGTCTAACACAAAATAACGCCTAATACAAAAATTAGATATTTTCTTTAAAAAATTCGTTGTAATAAAAGTTTTAATGCTAAGCATTCTTAGTTGTGACGTTTGCAGTGTTCATAATTTTACACTTAACATTTGTGATTTATTTTTACAGTTTTAATTTGCCCCGCATTACCACAATCCTGGAGCGGCTAATGGGCACCAACATTGTGCGCCTGACCGATCGTGAATATATGCGTACCCTGCGTGACCGCATCGACGAGGACTACAGGAACCAGTTGGAAAAACGCATCAAAACACGTGAGGTGAGTAAATTTTATTTAAAGGGCGAAAGATTAAGTATTTGTGAAGTAAAAAATGAATGGGAGACGTTTAATTCCTTCAATTAAGCAAGGGAAAACAATACGCTAGTGACCTTTTTTAACAAAGTTCACAATTCGAGCAAGTGCCTTCAAAGCAGCAATAGATTAAAAAAAGAAAAATACTGGTCCATTAAGGAAATGACCAATTTACTTGCTATCATTATTTATATAAGTAAACCTTCACAGAGAGTTATGTTACAGTTTTAAAAATAGTTGAATTATAAAAATAGTTCAATACTTTATATCTTTTATGATTTAGCTTTAGTTATGATTAAGTCTTACACAATTAATTTCAGATTTTTAAATTCATTTTATTTGAAATACAAAATGAATTATACAATCCACAAGTTAAACTAATTTGTGAAAGTGGTGTGTTTAGGATTCCAATGAATAATACATATATTACGAGCTACCCAGAAAAATAAATGAATCCAATAATTTCACTAAGATGCCCCGCAGAGGTATTAATCATTTAGTCGTTTACTTACAGGTCACTGTAGACTAAGAAACCATACCAGAAGACTGAGTCTCCGTGCCTCTCATCAATACTTTTTATATCTATTTTTTCGATGCTAATTTCCAGTCCGAGTATTGTCATTGTATACTATACTGAGGACATGGCTTTATAACCATGAGCTCTTGATCTTCTTCACTACACGGTAACACAATGGGCCAACAGTTCGAATTGGATCCCCTAGTGATAATCGGTATAACCTAACCTAACTTAGTATAAATAACATTAGCCCAAACCTTGATCAACACTTAGACTTTAATAAGATCAGTTAAGTGTAGTCGATTTCCGTCTAACCTATATTAATGCATTATCTATCGTAGTTTTATATTTTTGTTATCTGCTAGATGTACTACTTTAAACTAATCGACTGGGTTGCTCATTTAAAATCAGGCTACAGAAACAATTACTCTCAGTATAAAGTTGTTGTTATAAAGAAAGAACCATATCTGTTGTCACTACCAGAGATAACGTAAAAGATAAAATAGTTTCTCAAAATGTAGCAGTCAGATTACAACCCAATAATCCCAAGCATGTGTGAATATTTAATATGTACATATGAATTGTAAATTGAAAGTAATTGAAAGCTTAGAAATGGAGTTTTAACCTTAAATATTCCTTCTTTCTGTAAATAAATAAAATAAATAGAAAATAATATTTTAAGATAAATTCATAGGCATGATGAAGGCCGCTCATTTTATCTACGCACTTGTGTACTTCTTCAATAAAAACTGTTATCTTTCCGATTTTCGGCTTATTTTCCATATTTTTTGATATTAAGTCTCATTTTTCAAACAATTTTGAAAATCATTTAAAATAACACCATTGTCTCTTACGTACATGATTGTAGAGATAACTTATTAGATTGACTTTTAAACGCAGAAACCACAATATTTAAATACTGGTTTATGCAAAATAAAAGTATTTTGTTTATATATCTGTGAAACACTTGTACTTGAATGCAATTTAAACAAACCATAAACTTCACCTTGTCTCTTAGAGCAAACCCTAATACAGCTAATGCAACTACTGCACTCAAGGTAACTAGCGCAGATGTCACGCCCCGTGTCAATTGATACTGATAACTTCTTGGCATGCTAACAAACACATAAGCTATGCCATTGTTGATAAAATTGAAATGTGACCCTTCATAAAATTATAAACAAAATTTGATTTTAGCTTTTCAAATGTAAAGCAAACATGAAAGCTCTTCAGCGGTAACCCAACTCCAATCTTTCGTTACCTGATTGAATTGAGTTGTTAATGTAAACACCTTGAAACAGCGGCAATAACAAGAAAAAATTATAATATTCTTAAAAATTGTAAAAGGTCACACCAGGTTGAGCAGAGCTACTTAGATCCAGATTAACCCAATAGTCATACATACCCTCACCTGTCAAATTCAAGGCGACCTGAGCTCGTTTGTTTGTCTGTGGAAAATATTTATGCTGCCTGATAGAAATTTAAAAATTGGCTAATATCCAAAGTAATTTATCAAAATAATCTATGAGCAAACAATAATGGAAACATTTGGGAACGTAATCCGTGCGAAAGTATTTTGGTCTGCTTCGACTTCGGCTTCGATTTCCAAATGACTTCAAATTGATATGACACTTTTAATGTCACATTCGATAACAATTTAGAATATTTCGGCATGCAGTTGGTAAGCAATCATTAGATGAGTTACTCAGTCGGTGAGTTACACAATTCAAATTGTGAACACCGACTAGTCCGTAGCGCTACAAATTATATGTGCCATTTTATTCCGATAGCACTAATAAATTACTTTGATTTGCATGAGTTAGTTCTTGATATATACAGGGTTAAGCAATTGAAGTGTTACCAATTACACACAGGTATACTAGTGTCTATTCAACTGATATTGCCAACTACGTCAAATTCATACGAATGACAGATGTTTGTCATTTATAAGCTACCACAAGCATTTACGTTTAAGTTTTATATAATAAAAGTTATTAGAAATGAAATTCAAACATTATAGTGTGATTGCGTTATAAATGACTGAAATAAAATGATTATTTATCGTGCCATAAATCGATATTATAGTACAGGCAGCGTTGCCAAAAGTTGTGGTGGTGGACGAAAAAAAAAAACAACATCACCTGAAATGGTTTGGCCTCAACGTAAATGAAATCCACGTCGTAGTGGTAATGAAATGGTCAAATAACTGAATATATCTCACCGAAGCATCCGACACATATCCCAAAATGAGCTCAAGGTAAAGCCATACAAGTTCCGTTTAACCAAAAATGGAACATATGAAAGATATATCTCCAAAGGGTTGTGTCTTTCACTTAGGCTATAAAAAAACTTACTTTACAAATAATATAAAAAGGAGGTACCATCAACAAAATGTGTTGATGAATTTGTGAAGTAAGTATGTGAACGTGGATCGTTATAGAATAAAACTAAAAATATTGCTGCTGCTGCTCGAAGTTTGACATCAACATCTACTCATCCTTGTTGTCAACAAATTCTCTTGAATTTCTCTCTTGAAATTCTCTTGAAAATTATCTTCTCCTTGAAGAGAATTTTACATAAAGACTTTGGTATAAACTCGTACAAAGTTCAATTATTTCAAGAGCTGAAATTGTATGACCATTCGCTGCATAAAGTTCATTTTCTCCTCGAAGTCTATAAGCAATAAGCAAATTTGTCGCATTTAAGTTTCAGGAAATACACACATCGTCTCGTAGTAGTCAATGTATCGAAATCGAGAACTCTGTAGTGAGGATTGTAATCCGTCGGCATCTCAAACCAAGGAAGTTGACACTGATGGCATTTGGTTTCAACAGGATGGGGCAACATGCCACACAGTCAACCTAACAATCGATCTCTTGCTCACTGTTTTAGAAATGTAAATGTTAATGGGTCATTTTTTGTGGAAAGAAATTGAATTAGAAGTTGAGACTTACAACCAATCAATCATACCTACGCCATTGCCTTAAAATAATCTGTTGATATCAAAACTGCAATATCTAGACGTAAACTTTTAGTCTTGGAAAACTTTACAACTATTTGCGATAATTAATAATATCTAAACTAATTTTTGTTAATAATTAATCAAACACATTTTTCAGCAAAGAGAAATTGAGCGTGAACGTTTGCTTATCATTGAGGGTAAATCGAATGAAGTGCCAAGGGAGCTCTTTCATGATCCTATTTTTGTGGTTAACAGAGAAGTTGAACAGGAGATATTATTCCAACGCTCAAAAGTAAATACGAAGTTTTTTTTTATTTTGTCGAAGTGTTTAATATTTTTTTAATTTCTTTCGAATATCTTTTATATTATATTGTAACTTACATCTTTACAGATGAAAACCACAAAGGAGAAAAATGCCATTCGTCTGAGACAGGCCACGCTATATTGGGAGCGCGAACGTCAGATTCGTGACATCGAGGAAAAGCAACGGGAAGAAAAAGTTATGAATCGCATAAATAATGAAAAAATGTTGGAGGAACAATATCAACGTGAAAATGATGAAAGGGGAATGGATTTATTACGGTACATAATATATAACTAAACAACAGTATTGAAAAAAATTTAGTTCTAGAAAGAAATTATTAATTTTTATCCGATAATAATTTATAATACAGCGTGTTATATCCCACTTACATTTCTTTCTTTCTATTTTATATTTATAAGAGCGTGTTCCTAAAGTTCTCCTATACATCAATTTCCTAAGTTTTAACCACGGTTGCCACTTGAAAATTTTTTCCTGTACCAAAATTGGTTTAAAAAGGTACAATTTCTGTAAAAAAAAGGTCCTTTTTGTTTTTTCGTTCTGTGTTTTTCATAGTGTTATAAATGAACAAAATGTAAAATAGTGCAAAGTTGCATTTATAAAAAAAATTAATTGGAAATATCCACAATAAAGTTGGGTCGTCAAAAATGTACCATTTTTGAACATGAGTACCAAACGAAAAAAAAAGTACCAATTTTGGTACTAAAGTACCATAAGTGGCAACCGTGGTTTTAACACATTCTCCCTCTCTCTCTCTATACATATATATATAATAATATTGTTAGATTTCAAAACAGACATAAGAATATTTGGATTAAATGTCAATACAGCAAATTATTTCATATAATATATTTTACATTAAAATACTTTCATGCTCCAATGCATTAACTTCAAGACTTTAGTAAGACATTTCTTTTAAGTTACTGAGAAGTATAAACTTCATATATGTATTATATATGTAACATCTGTATAACACAAATAAAATTGCGATTGCATACTTATAGGAGCGATTAATAAAACTTAATTATCCAACAAAATAGACAATTATTATCAAAACAGAAGTTAGAAGAGATCAAAAGTAAGAACGGAATTAGCAAATATATAAAATTTGACTAAAAAATTAATAGTCTTATATTGGGCTTAAAGTAAATATCACATAATGTTTCTTAACAACATATTTTCCATTGAAACATTCACTTGAGCTGATGAGAAGTATAAACTTTATATTAGTATTCTGTATATCGAAGTACGAGAATAAGTTAAAAATAATAAAACAACAACAAAACTAACAAATCTATAAAATTAACCCACCCATTCCGATTTATTTCCATTTATCTCAACGTTTTACATTAATTTAATGATAATAGAGATTATTTTTTATTAAGCACAAATCAAGTTGCTGCCTCTTTCGAAATAGTCTTCGCTGCTCAATGACCTAGGCTCTCGTTCTTAAGAAGATTGTACATTTACACAGAAGAAGTAAAGTTTTTTATTATTATTTATTTTTTATTATTAGTTTTTAGTACGTTAAAAAACAAATTCACTAGTGAGGTATAGTTTGTTTATTTACTTAATAGGTTAAAATCAGGGCATCGAACCGGAATTTTTCCGTTCCGGTTTTCGTTTCGGTGCAAGACAAAAAAATATATCGGCTCGGTTCCAGTTTTAGTTCCGACAAAAATATCGGCTTTTTTCGGATTTCGGTTCGGTTCCAGTTCGATGCCCTGGTTAAAATCTCAAGCTTCAGAGTTGTCTCTTTACTTATTTGAGCTTCACACATTACACAATGTTTCTGGTATACCCCAATTGGACGAGTAGGACAATATCCAATAGCTTAACATCAGTTAGACAAACATCTTACCAACTAAGAGTGGACTAATGATTAGTAAGAGTTGTGTCCATAAATAGTTTATAATTCTTGGTGAATTTTTGTTTCTTTTTCTGGCATTTAAACTTAATAATTAAAGCCGAGCTGCCGTAAATTTTTTATTTAAATATTGTAAGTATTAAACTGTAAGTAACCTGAACCACATATGAAGTTTTCTGTAATAATGAAATACAGTCAAACTTCCATAACTCGAATAAAAATATTATCACGTGGCAATGGGAATGTAGGAATGTGGCATTCTATAAGTCAAAAAGAAAATAAAATTCCAAACCCCTTATTTCTGCATATTTTACTTCACTATAACTTCTGTGCTGTATTTGATTTCAAATAAATAAATAAATATCTTAAAATGTAATTCTAGTTTCTTTCAAAAATAAAAAAAAATGAAAAAATTCTCTACTTCGAAATCTCCATTAATCGAGCCTTTTCTTTGCAAAATGGTGCTTAGAGTTATGGAAGTTGAACTGTATTTTTTTCTTTCCGACAAAGACTTGCATCTACTCTGAAAGCACTTATAGTCCCTCGTTACATACTCCTGTTAGGTTTGACCATTGAAAATGTTGTAGTTTTTTATGGATTGATATGTACATATTTTAAGATTAGCAACTGAATGAGTTGACAAGGAACGCTATCAGTCTTAGGTTCCACTTCTTCTTCTGACTTTTAGACCAGCTTATTAAACTTATCAATTCTTGTTGCATTCTGTTTTATTATTGGTGTGAGTTTTGCCTAACACAGAAAACATAAAAATTAATTAAATTTTTCCAAGCTTTCTGCTCTTAACGCGATTTCTGTTTTCCATTTCCCATCACATAATTTTTTATTCCTTTGTTCCGAACTGACTGAACTGAGCATAATAAACTTCAAAGATGCGTTAAAGGCGTTTGGCACGTGATTCCAGCGGAGTACATAAAATACATTTCAGAGCATTAAAGAATTATAAAACGGCCGAGGGATAAGGGATGACAGCTCCACGCAGTGATGACAGCTATTTGCATCTCATAAATATGCACATCAATCTCTTTTAATGCGTTGTTGATTTTTTAGCTAAAATTGTTAAGGATGTTGTTAATATTAGACAAACATCTCCTTATATCACTGCATTACACATCCTGTGTATGAGCGTGTGAGTCCCATAAATTTATTAATAAACTCTGCATATTTAGAAAAATGCTCTACTAATTATGCAAATAATTAAAACTTCTTTAAATATGAGTATGTAAAGCCCGACCGACCTACAAGGAAGTAGCTCATCTACAGTTTTCATAAAAATATTTCTGTTTTTCTGCTGTCAAAAGAAATTTCTTTCTTTTATTTTTATAAAAAAATCATTTTTTTTTGGAATTTATTTTAAATTAAAGATACACATGGAGTTACTCTTAAGCTTGCGATAAATCAAATGTAAACTTAAAGAAAATTGCGTTGCGAGGACATGTGAATGTTTTTAGAATCGTTCTATTTAGAGTTTTTAAGTTTTGGATGAGAGAGAGGTACCTTTTTACTTTAAATCGCTATAGATTCGTCAGTATTTGTGGAAATTCTCAAATTCACAAAAATTTATCAACAAAATTGATGATTTCAAGCACAACTTTTAAAATCCCTTACGTGTTTCATTACGGTCCTTAAAATATATGGAGATATAAAAAAAATAAAGAAAGAGTAAAGCAGCTATATCAGCTTTCGAAACAACCCTATCGATTATGGATAAAAATGTTCCACTATTGTGCCTCTACATAATTTGTGGAAGATACTACTTTCCACTCACCACACGGCAATCTAGTTACTTGTGCTTTTTAAGATAAGACGGGTATATTCTAATATAAAAGCTGTTACAGTTGTTTGCCAAATATCTTCATGTGGTTATCTTTAAACAAACAATCAATAATATGTGTTCAACAACTTCAACTACGGAGTATATTCCAAAAAGCGGATTAATAATCAATATTAGTAAAAACTTTCGAATCCTGACAGATGTTAATTCAAGTAGATATAGGTTTTCTGCACTATATAATATTTAGGAAGAGCTTTATAATATTCAATGGTACTAATAATGTATAATGAAACGCTTATAGCATTGCTGTTATCTGATATATATTCTTAATATTTTATCTTAATACTATTTTTTACTAAGTATACAATGCAATGCAAGATTCAATTTTCCTGTCGAATTCAAGCCAACAAATTGACAAAAAACTGATTTAATCTAAATCTGTATCATTTTAAAATTAGAAAATATATACTAAATACTTTTTTTTGTGTTTTTAGTTACATTTATAGTCCCCATGGCAGATCAGCCGCAAATTGGCGGCCTTGTGAACTGGATCTCAAGGATTATTTAGAGTCTGAGCGAGCGAAAATGAAAGCGCGTGAAAACATTGTTTCGAAACAATTCAATTCAGATCCGAAGGACTTACGCAACATCATTGCGGCCAGGTAAGCAGGTTTTAGTAGATCAATTTTCAAGGAATGACTAAATCCAACTTTATAAAATTTCAGAAAGGAAAAATTACGTGCAGAGCGTGCTGCGAAAGCAGCTGCTGCACTAGGAGATCAACTTAGCGTAAATATTATTATTAAAATTTGGATAATCATCTTAAATAGATGCATTTTTGTTGTTGGTCTTATTTTAGGATACGAGTCGTTCTAAAATATTTGAAATGGGTAGGCATGGCGAGGGTGGGTATAGGCTTTCCGGTCCAGATGGTGCAATGATGGGACGTGGTAGATACCCTGGTGACTCAGATGAAACAATTATGTCAGATGATTTTGAAGAGGATGAGGGTAGCACTCTCAGTGAGTCAGTTCGTGCACATGCAGAAATGTTAGATGACGAAATATCGCAAGACATTAAAAGAGGTTTTATTATTTCACGCGCCCAATATGAGGATTTACGTTATGAAGAAGTGAAAATAACAAAATTGCGCCAAGCTAGAGTAAGTTCACAGAACTTAAATATTTAAAATACAACATTTAATATTTTAAATTTTCGTTTTTCTTTTTTCTAGAATATTAATGAACTTTATCAGCTTGCAGAGGAAATCATATTAGGTGATCGTCCTGTTGAAGAGGATCAAGGTGAGGAAGAACATGAGGAGGAGGAAGAGGAAGAGGTCGAAGAGGAAGAGAGTTCAGCTGAATCCTATTAAACCTTATATTTTAATACAAATGTTATGATTATTTAGCAAAATTTTGACCATGACTAAGAAGCACAAAATTATTGTACAAAATTTTATATGTTCTTTAATGAATACAAAATATATAATTCACGAAACCAATAGCTTATAAATTTAATTATTTTTGGTATCTATTTTAAAAAAATTGAAAATATAAATTTTTAAACCAGCAGATATTTTTAGAGAATCGTAGGTTTTCGAATTCAATCAAACTTGATATATATAGTATTATATAGTCATGATAGTCTTAAACGCTGCTTACAGATTGTAGATTGTAGCTATACAAAGCTATGAATATAATAGCCTTTGAAAGTCCTAATATAAATATATATTTTCGCAATTAATTTATGTAATAGCCTATTACATCGAGTGTATTTGTTTGACAAATACTTAAATGATATATCAGCGGTTTTAAATAATGACATGAAATACTAAAACTTAACTTTCTATGGTGTTATTATCTAAATTACATTATCTTCAATTACTACTGCAAGTAGAATCTAAAATAACGGAGAATGTTATATCAAAAATTATATGAGTTTTTACTGATACTCTTTGTACAAATGTATTCCTATTCGAAAGTAAATCTGAATTTTTTCTATTAAAGACTATCTATGACTAACCGTCAGGCTAAAGTGGTTCTTTCTTACAATTACGGTAAGGTATCCTTCCTCAGCAGAACGGAATTGAAGTTACTAGTGGGATATTTAACGGGTCACCACGGACTGCGTTGTCATCTTAACAAAATGGGTCTGTCTGGAAAAATAGAGATAGAAGAGTAATATTCTTTGTAACTCTCCAGCCTTGATCTGGGCTACTGGAGATCACTGGGTCGTGAATTACTTTCCCCTTCCAACAACGGCTGCTATATTTTGGCTTTCATTCGAAGAGAGGGATGTCTTCTGTTCGATTAGGGTCTGTAGCAGCACAAAAGATTAACTTTGGAGCCATTTCTTATGTTATCTAAGAGTAAACAAAAACTTTTACATACATACTTCATGTATTAATCTCAGTACACAGTTTTTTAAGTATAGAAATTAATTTAGTACTCATCTATGATAGTAAGAGTCAGTCTAATTATAACGCACCCAATTCGATAAAGTACCGAGGTGTTAAGGAGTAACTTGAATTATTAGGAAATCTTTTATCAACTTTACTTATATTGCTATTTCTTCAGCTATACCAGCTAGTGTAAAAGCAAGTAATGCTTTCATTTACATGAATAAACACTTCCTGCCTTATATTAGACGTTTTTCATCATTTTATTATTACAATTCAGACAGCAAAAATTAATTTATCTCTTGAACTAAAAAAATATATATAAACCAATATTGCAATCGCAAGTTAGTGAAATATATAACATTCTTACTGACTTGAATATATATTTTACCCCTACAAAATAAATATTATATCAAAAATGTGAAGCGCATAATTTTTGTACAAATATCTTGATCGATATGCAAAATAAACAGCCGATTTATTGATAACTCTTCGATAAACTGACAGCCGCTAAAGCGTTTAAAACTTAATTAACATTAGATAAACGATTTTAATTAAATCGTTGATTATTATAATAAAAACCCGTTGATTGATGGGTGGAACGATGTGGAACAACGTGTAATTATGGACACTAGAGTATGGTCTTCATACGACACAAAAAGTTGAGAGGGTGAATTTCATATCTCCTTTACATACTGACGTCGAATGTATCTATTAAGTGAAATGACTTATTTGCTTTGAGTTCGTAGATACTTTGTATATTGAAATTGCAATTGAAGTGGATTTACATGCACGTAAGCAAATAAAATTATTACTATTTGAGATTGAACACAGCATTACGTCATCACTAAATACGGGCTGAAGTGCAGATAATATTTGCAATTAAACTTTCTAAAATGGTTTAGCTATATAAACCTTAATATATAATTAAGAATGAAGTAATTGTTTACTGTGGCAATTCTTCTTCTCCTGTTTTTACAGATAATAACTTTATTGATTATTGACGTATACCCTACCAAAATTTATCTTTTATTATAAAATACTACAATTAATTTATTTATTGCTTTACTGTTGGGTGAAGCAAAAAAAGAATTTAAAAAAAAATTATAAAATTAATCAAGACAAAATATTTCATTTCATTCTGACAACGTTAAATTACAAGCACATTTTATTTATATAAACTATCCATCAGATAGTTTGCGCATGGTACAGTTTTAAAAATATATTTTATACCTTACAATAAAGGTGTTTCTAGAAGTGTTTTTAGTAGACCTGATGAACATCAACTGAAATGGTTCGAAAACTGAAGCCCCGCCTTAAATGAAATTTACGTCGTAGTGGTAATCAAATGGTCAGAGGACTGAAAATATCCCAGCGAAGCATAAAACACATATTCCAAAATAAGCCATACAAGTTCCGAAAGGCACAAGATTTTAAACCAAAGGAAGAAAAAGTTAGATTCGAAAGAGTAAGGGAGTTGTTACGATTTTTGAAGTTACTTTAAAGTCATGGGCACACAAACATTTCAATCGTGGACCATGGACGTTCCAACAAGACTCGGCACCGGTCTCGGTCTCATAAAGTCCGTATGAACCAAGAATGATTATAAAATTATGTTCCACACTTCATTTCGTCCACATAATAGCTTTCGAATTCGTCAGATGCAAATCCAATGGACTATTCCATCTGGACCATTTTGGAGAGCAAGTTGAGGATTAAAAAAATATGCTAGTATGAAGACAGTTATTATTCAGGAATGGGCCAAATACCGAAAGATCACAAACTTGAAGTATGCCACTCATTGTTTTACCGTTTGAAGGCCATAGTCAAGGCTAAAGGTGACCACATCGAGCTAGAGTGAATGGATTCTGAAATTTTGATTACTTACACAAATTCTTATAATTTGAATCAAAGCAATTTCACACAAAAAAACGACCATATCTCGTTTGAATAGGTAACACTTCAATCGCTCAACCCTATATATTAATGATATTTATGGACTAAAGACTATAAAGATTTAAAAGACCAATTTGAGTTATCTACAAATTTGTTTAGTTTGGAAAATGATACCCAATTCATTTAATAAACAGTAAAAAATTATTATTGCATTAAAAGATTAAAAAGATTATTTTTTATATGGATTGCATGGAGCTATAGTAGCTCATCTCAAAAATTATCCGGAATTCGTTATATAACACATCAAATATAAATTTAGTAGTGACCAAGAAGTCTCGTAAAGTATGAAGCGTAATGTTATCTTCCAGCCATTGTTGATTGAGGTGTGTATTGTGTGATGGTACAAGCACTTTATTATTTGAATACCTACGGCTTCAGGGCTAAGGTTATAATGCGGCCTAATTCCAAAACCACAATATCTAATCAATTTTACATCCTCCAAACAAAAATCATATTGGATTGTATGTAATACCACTAAAAATATGCTAAAATATTTCAAACTCATTGACAATGAACTATTTAATATTCAAACTTCTAGTGGCATGCACACATGAGTTATGCCAAATATAGCTGAAATATTTAATATTAACAAAATAAAATTCGATAGGCCAAATCACACATCCTAAACAGTGTAATAATACATATTAGACGCGTATCCAAACAAGTTGTGCAAAATCTATAAATACCACTGCACTCAGCCCGATATCGGAATTGAAATTCAAATTTCAAACCTCAGAATTGGCACTTGACAAATTTCAATATGAGCCCAAATGTACATATTTTTTATACATATTAATCAGTTTGCCCCTCCAAGCATGAAAACTAGGACATGTGTTGTCAGTAGCAAAAAAAAGCGAATTCGCTATTGAGCCTACCCACAACATTATTCCTGCTATTCCTCTTCACTTCGCTACCCTAAACGCCACCCTAAACGAATTTGTGGCTAGGCAGTATACGTATTTGTTTGGTTAAATAATATAACAGTTAAACTATTTGCTCTTCCAATAGCAAACGCCCATCCTTAATGTCAGGTCGTTGCTACTATTGACTGTACAAATATTTACATTTATGCTAATAATGGGTTAAAGTGGGCTCAAGACAGTTTAAATGGGGTAAAGTGGGTTACGGATATTTGATTTCAGTATTCGCTTCTTTAAGCAATATTGAATTTTTTGTGTCGGGTCAGTATAGTCATTGAGGTAGCAAAAATCAAATCGATAAGTAATGAAACTAAAAGTGAGAAGGCGTATCTAGTAACCACTTGTTAATTCACCTCAAAAGTTGTTACGGTTTTCTTTGAAAATCTCCAGTTAATTAAATTCAAAACAACTTGTTTCTTGACATTCTCACTCGTTTTCGATTGCTAAGAACTAGCCATTGCAAAATTAAGGTCAATTTGGGGGCAATATCGGCTTATTGCGGTGAAAGAACAAAAGATATTCTAAGAAATATTCAGATATAATTAGAGTATCAAATTTTACGAACCCACGTTATCATTAGTTGATGTTTCGACAAACGTAAAACTTTATTAAATAATTCGGAAGAAAATCGTTTTCAATGTCACACCAAGGTGGCTCAAAAAAAAACAAAATGCGATTTTAAATGAGCGCATCCCGGATTGACCCATGCAATTGACGAAAAAAAAATATTCCCGAAGTTTTGGAGATGATGTTGCACCCGAGTAAAGTTGAGTTATCAGTACAAAAAAAGGAAATTTTTTGATTCAATAAGTTAGATGTCAAATACATTACGTTAACCTTACACTGAATACTTAATAGCACATAAATCTATCTACACAAAGAAGTTATTCATCGGCTAGAATAGTCAAACAGTGATCTAAGTCAAGTACTGTTGAAAAAAAAGCTCATATCTGCATACCGAAAATCTATCAACGAAAAAATCCAGGACTTCAATATTCATCTAATATGGATTTTGGGGATATGGATATATCAAAGAAAATTGCAAGCAAGAGAAGATAAGATAATTATTTTAGCTAAGGAATCTGTAAAGCTATATCTCGCCTCGGTTACTTACTGTGACTATTCCAAGATTGTGCAGACTTGGAATAGAGAAGTCAATTACGGCTTTGGGTCAGCTGGTTAATGAACAATGACTCTAAGCTTCAAATTTGGCAGGGTACGGGTTGA